CAATAATTTTGTACGTTTGTGTTTGTGTGTGTGTATGTGTGTCTGCATTTATATGTGTCTCTGTGTGTGTAAATCTGTATTTATACATGTGTGTGCCTGTCTGGGTGTATGCGGGTACTGAGTAGGTGGTCTGTGTAGCTCAAGTAGTCAGATAGCACTTCCATTGCTATAAGTTTAGCAGGACTATAGCTAAAGTATAGTAATTTAGCATCTCTGGTGCCTAATCAACATATGAAAAAATGTTAACTTTGTTAGCTTCTATTATATCCTCAGACACAGATTAATCCTCTCAACCATACCTAGACTTTCAGAGCCTCTGAACTAAATAAAAGGACAGCAATTCCTTTGAAAGAAAATGTTGGTTCAGAGTTTGAAGAACGGAAAATAAGTGTACTATTTTTTAAAATTGCACTTATTTTCAGTTGAGTAAAAGTGAATCGTGGTCTCCCTCTGGTGTCCAAAACGGGGGTAGCTGAAAGATTATCTTAAGGCTTTTTTTTCTTTCTTTTCAGCAAGCTGACTTTAAGTATTAAAATTCTATTCATCTTTGTTAAGTCCACAAACAAACACACAAAACATGGCATATGTATATATCTCTTTGTGTATATATGACCAGACCATAACACACTGCTTGGAGCAGGATCAAAATACAGACAAATTATGGGTGCTATAATTTGGATACCAGCTGATTATACACTAAAATTGTTTTATTGCAGAGCACAAAGGGTTCAATAAAATATTAAGCTCTTGGTATTGAACAATTCTGCCTATGGTAAACTAGTGTCTGAAAGAAGAGGTAATTTAATTTTTTTGGAGTTGGACAAAATCTAATAAATTTACACTGATGGATGAGCATCTGCGAAATGTCTAAAATCAGATTATACTATAGATTTTCTTTGATTTTTACTGTCTCCATTAGGTGCTTTCCATTGGACAGTGTTTTCCTCTCTATATTGTTTTAAAAGTTATAATTCTTTTAATGTTCTATAGTTTTTTTACCTTATAATTATTCTCATGTTTATTTGTTCTTTTTTGGCTCTTAAAGATGTTCATATTTATAATTTCTCCAGAATAAAAGAAGTTCAGCACGCTCTATAGTTAATTTAGTCTCCTCTCATCTCCATTATGTTAATGTAGGCTATAAGCTTAGTTATGGGTTATGATGAATATAATTTAACTTTTTATTTCCTTTATTCCTAAAATTATATTTAATTTTACTGTGAAGACATCAATACATTTAGGAAAGAAACTTGATCATTTGAGCTTGCTATATTCTTAGCATCCTTGTTTGGATTTGCCTCTCTTCTAATTTGAGTACTCCTTGTTGAGTTTTCAATGTAGATTCTTATGTAGCAAACCCCCTAAGGCCTAATATTTTGAAAAATATTTTTATCATTCCCTCATATTTGAATAAAAAGTTGGCTAAAAATTCTAGGTTCAAAGTTCTTTTTAGTATTATTATTATACATTAAGCTCTGGGATACATGTACAGAATGTGCAGGTTTGTTACAAAGGTATACAGGTGCCATGATGGTTTGCTGCACCGATCAACCCATCATCTACATTAAATATTTCTCTTAATGCTATCCCTCCCCCAGCCCCTCACCCCCTAACAGGCCCTAGTCAGTTCTGCTCTGATCTTAGTTATTTCTTGTCTTCTGCTAGATTTTCAATTTAATTGCTCTTGCTTCCCTAGTTCTTTCAACCGTGATGTTAGGGTATTGATTTTAGATCTTTCCCACTTTCTCCTGTGGGCATTTAGTGCTATAAATTTCCCTCTAAACACTGCTTTAGCTGTGTCTCAGAGATTCTGGTACGTTGTGTCTTTGTTCTCGTTGGTTTCTAAGAACTTATTTGTTTCTGCCTTAATTCATTATGTACCAGTAGTCATTCAGGAGCAGGTTGTTCAGTTTCCATGTAGTTGTGTGGTTTTGAGTGAGTTCCTTAATCCTGAGTTTCAATTTGATTTTACTGTAGTCTGAGAGACTATTTGTTATGATTTCTGTTCCTTTGCATTCGCTGAGGAGTGTTTTACTTCCAATTATGTGGTGTTAAGAAGAATGTATATTCTGTTGATTTGGGGTGGAGAGCTCTGTAAATGTCTATTAGGTCCACTTGGTGCAGAGCTGAGTTCAAGTCCTGAATATTCTTGTTAATTTTCTGTCTCATTTATCTAATGTTGACAGTGGGGTGTTAAAGTCTCCCACTTTTATTGTGCGGGAGTCTACGTCTCATTGTAGGTCTCTAAGAACTTGCTTTATGAATCTGGGTGCTCCTGTACTGGATGCATATATTTTTGGGATAATTAGCTCTTCTTGTTGCATTGATCCCTTCACCATTATGTAATGCCCTTGTCTTTTTTGATCTTTGTTGGTTTAAAATCTCTTACATTAGAGACTAGGATTGCAACCTGTACTTTTTTTTGTTTTGTTTTCCATTTCCTTGGTGTATATTCCTCCATCCTCTTATTTTGAGCCTATGTGTGTCTTTACACATAAGATGGGTCTCCTGAATACAGCACACCAATGGGTCTTGACTCTTTATCTAATTTGCCAGTCTGTGTCTTTTAACTGGGGCATTTAGCGCATTGACATTTAAGGTTAATATTGTTATGAGTGAATTTGATCCTGTCATTATGATGCTAGCTGGTTATTTTGACCCATTAGTTGATGCAGTTTCTTCACAGTGTCGATGGTCTCTACAATTTGATATGTTTTTGCAGTGACTGCTGCTGGTTTTTCCTTTCATGTTTAGTGTTTCCTTCAGGAGCTCTTATAAAACAGGCCTGGTGGTGACAAAAATTCTCAGCATTTGCTTCTCTGTAAAAGATTTTATTTTTCCTTCGCTTATGAAGCTTAGTTTGGCTGAATATGAAATTCTTGGTTGAAAATTATTTTAAGAATGCTGAATATTGGCCCACCCTCTCTTCTGGCTCGTAGGGTTTCTGCAGAGAGATCTGCTGTTAGTCTGATGGGATTCCCTTTGTGGGTAACCTGACCTTTCTCTCTGGCTGCCCTTAACATTTTTTCCTTCATTTCAACCTTGGTGAATCTGAAGACTATGTGTCTTGGGGTTGCTCTTCTTGAGGAGTATCTTTGTGGTGTTCTCTGTACTTCCTGAATTTGAATGTTGGCCTGTCTTGCTAAGTTGGGGAAGTTCTCCTGGATAATATCCTGAAGAGTGTTTTCCAACTTGATTCCATTCTCCCCATCACTTTCAGGTACACCTATCAAATGTAGGTTTGGTCTTTTCACATAGTCCCATATTTCTTGGAGGCTTTGTTCATTTCTTTTCATTCTTTTTTCTCTAATCTTGTTTTCTCACTTTATTTCATTAATTTGATCTTCTATCTCTGATATCCTTCTTTCTGCTTGATTGATTCGGCTATTGATGCTTGTGTATGCTTCAGAAAGTTTTCATGCTGTGTTTTTCAGCTCCATCAGGTCATTTATGTTCTTCTCTAAATTGGTTATTCTAGTTAGCAGTTCCCGAAACCTGTTTTCAAGGATCCTAGCTTCCTTGCATTGAGTTAGGACATGCTCCTTTAACTTGAAGGAGTTTGTTATTACCCACCTTCTGAAGCCTACTTCTGTCAATTCATAAAACCTTTCTCCATCCAGTTTTGTTCTCTTGCTGGAGAGGAGTTGTGATCCTTTGATGAGAAGAGGCATTCTGGTTTTTGAAATTTTAAGCCTTTTTGCACTGGTTTTTCCTCATCTTCATGGATTTATCTATCTTTGATCTTTGATATTGGTGACCTTCAGACAGGTTTTCTGTGTGTATGTCCTTTTAGTTGATGTTGATGTTATTGTCTTCTGTTTGTTAGTTTTCCTTCTAACAGTCAGGCCCCTCTGCGGTAAGTCTACTGGAGTTTGCTGGAGGTCCACTCCACACCCTGTTTGCCTGGGTATCACCAGTGGAGGCTGCAGAACAGCAAAGATTGCTGCCTGTTCCTTCCTCTGGAAGCTTTGTCCCAGAGGGGCACCTGCCAGATGCCAGCCAGAGCTTTCCTGTATGGGATGTCTGTCAACCCCTGCTGGGAGGTGTCTCCCAATCAGGAGGCATGGGGGTCAGGGACCCACTTGAGGAGGTAGTCTGTCCCTTATCAGAGCTCAAGCACTGTGCTGGGAGATCTGTTGCTCTCTTCAGAGCCAGCAGGCAGGGAATTAAAAGTCTGCTGAAGCTGAGCCCTCAGCTGCCCCTTCCCTCAGGTGTTCTGTAGCAGGGACATGGGAGTTTTATCTATAAGCCCCTGAGTGGGGCTGCTGCCTTTCTTTCAGAGATACCCTGCCCAGAGAGGAGGAATCTAGAGAGGCAGTCCGGCTAAAGTGGATTGCCAAGCTGCTGTGGGCTCCACCCAGTTCAAACTTTCTGGTGGCTTTGTTTACACAGTGAGGGGAAAACCCCCTACTCGAGCCTCAGTAATGGTGGATGCCCCTCTCCCCACCAAGCTCAAGCATCTTAGGTCAACTTCAGACTGCTGTGCTGGCAGTGAGAATTTCTAGCCAGTACATCTTAGCTTGCTGGGCTCTGTGGGGGGTGGGATCTACTGAGCTAGACCACTTGACTCCCTGGCTTCGGCCCCCTTTTCAGAGGAGTGAACAGTTCTGTCTCGCTGGTGTTCCAGGCACCACTGGGGTAAAAAATGAAAAAATGAAAAAACTCCTGCAGCTAGCTTGGTGTTTGCCTAAACAGCCACCCAGTTTTGTGCTTGAAATCCAGGGCCCTGGTGGTTAGGCACCCAAGGGAATCTTATGGTTTGCGGGTTGCAAAGACCATGGGAAAACTGTAGTATCTGGGTTGGAGTTCACTGTTCCACACGGCAAAGTCCCTCAAGGCTTCCTTTGGCTAGGGGAGGGAGTTCCCCAACCCCTTGAGCTTCCTTGGTGAGGCAATGCCCCACCCTTCTTTGACTTGCTCTCCATGGGCTGCACCCACTGTCTAACCAGTCCCAATGAGATGAACCATGTATGTTAGTTGGAAATGCAGAAATCACAAACCTTCTGTGTTGATCTTGCTGGGAGCTGCAGATCAGAGCTGTTCCTATTTGGTCATCTTTCCAGCCACACCTACTTGTTCTCTTTGTTTATACATGAGTCCCTAGAAAATTTGTCACTATGGCTGATATAAGTATTTTCTACTCTCTGTAAATTTCAAACCTACCCCAGAACCTTTACAGTCAGTCAATAACCTTGTTTCCCAGTTCACTGAGAAGATGAAAGTCCTCCAATGTGAGCTTGACTTCACTAATATCCATGTTAAGATTTCTCTGAATCCACACTCCCAGTGCCCCTCCCAAAGTTAGTTTCTTATGTACTTTTAGAGTCTGGCGCCTACACTAGAACACTGTCCACAATCTCCTTCTATAAATGGTTCCTTTGTACATCTACAAATAGACATGCAATCCTTTTGCTTGTATTTTAAAATTAGCTAAACAATCTGTAACCACACATAGAATCAGAATTACATGTCTGAAGTATATGAACTGGAAAAGGCCTTCTTAGAAGTCCTGCACTCTTATCTCCCCTTATAATGATGAATAATCTATGATATGCAAGGGGTTGTAAGTGACTGACTTAAGGCCACAGTTAACTAGCAGCAAGACTGAGAACAGATCTCATAATGAGTGTCTATCATTCTATGACCTGTTTTTACTACTTTGTATGCCTCTTTAAATGACCAGGAAAAGAGAAGACATGCTTTCATTCTAAGTGTTGGTGATGAGAAAAAGCATTAAATACTGAAATGTGTCTATTACTTTTAGGGCTACTTTTCCCAAAATACATGCTTGCAGAAATCTTTGGCAGATAAATTATCACAATTTTCTCCACATTGCCAGCCCCAAATTAAGTGGATTCTAATATCCTGAAATAAAGTTTTGGATATGCTACTTAAGAACATTAAATACATAAAGGCCTATTAAAAAGCACACTTTTCCCACCAATAAAACGGACAGCAAATTTACACATTTTTTGTTCAAGCTCTTATAATCTATTCTAGAAGCAGAAAGACCTAAGACATTTCTTCAGAAGTCCTCAAGTAACTTATGTGATATTATAAAACTTCTGGAAAGTAATCTGATCTCCAATAAAGGTCAATATTAATGAGACAGCAACATATAAGCACTTTAGTTTCCTGTCAGAGTTTTTGCCTTGTTCTTCAATTCTTCTTGCTTCCACCAGTAGGAGAGAAATACTATCCTAAGGTTTCATACAGCCTGGAAGAAAAATAAAGAAAACTTTGTATAGAGCCTAATATAATTGCAGATATGCTTTCATAAAATAAGACAGTGTATATACATATAACATTAAAATATTCATAAAGCTGTCATTAGCTCAACGTCATTTATGTAAATTATTAACATGAAAAAGGCAACCTCAAATTTCACCAAACCTCTATGCAGTAGTAGTATCATTTTAAAATTATAAAGTAGAAAACTCCAAGAAGTTAATGGGCTCGCTCTAAGCAAAGAAGGTGGGGATTACTGTTTGTTATTTGTTGCTATCAACAAGACTGACCTTAACGACTATAGCTGATAGAAGTAGATAACTATTCCCACAGTTCTACAAAGGAACTATCTATAATAAAGAAGTGAAAGCTGAAGGAATGCAATGGAGATTTATTTACGTTGATTTTTTCTAAAGATAACTTTCAGCAACCTAATATTATTACATATCATTTCCCACTTTAATATAATAAGACAAGTGTTTTTCTTTCATATCTATTAAAGGTGATCCAAAAAGAAATATTAGATTACCATATGCTGACCTTATCAGGACAAGCAAATCAATATGTGGTGATTATGTTTTAGGTCTAGAAATATAAAGTACTCTATGTTAAAACAATATCTACAAGGTCTTGCAAAAGAGAAGGGAAAGTATGTGTGACACAATTAAATAAATAAAACAACTATATCAAATACTGAATAATCTTACATTTTTGGAATTTGCTACTGCTTTTTTTTTTTAACTTTTTCAACTTTTGCCTAGTCCCCAAAAAAATCTATTAAGATTGAACAAAAGCAATAATTAGAAATTATCAGATCCCTCAGGCATAAGGTGGCTTTCAGCCTCTAATTCTATGCAGATTATTACTTTCATTGGGCTGGGCATGGTGACTCATGCCTGTAATCATAGCACTTTGGGAGGCTGAGGCAGGTAGATCATGAGCTCAGGAGCTCGAGGCCAGCCTGGCCAATATGGTGAAATCCCATCTTTACTAAAACTATAAAAATTAGCTGGGCGTGGTGGCACACATCTGTAATCTCAGCTACTCGGGAGGCTGAGGCAGGAGAATCTCTGGAACCGAGTTTGCAGTGAGCTGAGTTTTCACCACTGCACTCCAGCCTGGGCTACAGACAAAGACTCTGTCAAAAAAATACCTTAAAAATACAGAGCATGGGGCGGAGCAAGATGGCTGAATAGGAAAAGCTCCAGTCTCCAACTCCCAGCACAAGCAACAGAGAAGACAGGTGATTTCTGCATTTTCAACTGAGGTACTGGGTTCATCTCACTAGGGAGTGTGGGACAATTGGTGCTGGTCAGCTGCTGCAGCCCGTCCAGCAAGAGCTGAAGCAGGGCAAGGCATCGCCTCACCTGGGAAGCGCAAGGGGGAAGGGAATCCCTTTTCCTAGCCAGAGGAACTGAGACACACAACACCTGGAAAATCGGGTAACGCCCACCCCAATACTGTGCTTTACCAAGGATCTTAGCAAACGGGCACACCAGGAGATTATATCCCACACCTGGCCTGGAGGGTCCCACTCCCACAGAGCCTCCCTCATTGCTAGCACAGCAGTCTGCAATCTACCGGCAAGGCAGCAGTGAGGCTGGGGGAGGGGCACCCACCATTGCTGAGGCTTAAGTAGGCAAACAAAGTGGCTGGGAAGCTCGAACTGGGTGGAGTTCACAGCAGCTCACACATCAGCTCAAGGAGGCCTGCCTGTCTCTGTAGACTCCACCTCTGGAGACAGGGCACAGCTAAACAACAACAACAAAAAAGCAGCTGAAACCTCTGCAGATGCAAACGACTCTGTCTGACAGCTTTGAAGAGAGCAGTGGATCTCCCAACATGGAGGTTGAGATCTGAGAACGGACAGACTGCCTGCTCAAGTGGGTCCCTGACCCCTGAGTAGCCTAACTGGGAGACATCCCCCACTAGGGGCAGTGGCCTGCACCCCATCAACTCGTCAGCACCCCATGCCAACTCGTCATTTACATCGGTATAACTCCCAAATGCAT